TGACGTTAAGGTGACCCTTTACAATTAAATGTTGATAAAACAAACAATTTAATCAGGAGTTGCTTTCTTTGCCTCTTTTGCTGTCCTTTTAAAGAGGTGCACGAAAATGGAGATTTTTAGGTCTTTTTATTCAGAAATCAGAGGCACTTGCAAAAAATCAGAGATTTACACCACTTAGATTCGGTGTAATGAGGTCGACAAGTTGTCCATTTGGTGTTGTCTGGACTATATTTAAAAAAATAAAGTATACGAAAGTATTAATTATCCGAAGATAAGTGAAGTGAAGCATAGGCCTACCCGAGATCTGAAAATAGAGTGCAACGCACCCCAGAACTCAAGATAGAATCTAGTTCTAGTTCAAGTAAAGATGTCGGCGATCTGGAGATAGTTGAAGTAAAGATACCGGAAATCTGGAGATAATTTAAGTGAAGATACCCGAAATCTGGAGATAGTAAGCAGAGATACCATAAATCTGGAGATAGTTTAAATAAAACATACCCTAGACCTGAAGATGATTCGAGTAAATCAGCCCCCCCCCCCCCCCCAACCCCCAAAAAGGGAAAAAAACGAAAGAAAAAAAACATACCTACCCCGCAAAAAAACTTTAAATAAATTATGAAATAAAATAAAACGCACTTTTAGAGAACTTAAAAGCGCCCTAGCTATTACTTCACGTTCCACGACCCGATTGTGTCCTATTTCGATAAGACAAGAGTCAGAACCTAACTACTATCCCTCGTTGACACAGCTTGTTGTGCACTACTAGATCTAGCCATTCGAAATGCAGAGCTAGTTTTTGTCTTTCCATTTGTTAGGGGGGGGGGGCGTCCTTTTTTTATCCTTTAAATCTTTTTTTTTGTGGGGGTGTCCTTTTTATCTAAAAAAATGGGGGCGGGAGGTGTCCTTTTTTATCTTTAACATTTTTTAGGGGGGGTGTCCTTTTTTAGCTTTTTTTTTTTTTTGGGGGGGGGGGGCGTTTTTACGCCCCCATAGATACAATTTACAGCATGCAGGAGACAGGTTTCCGACTCCCGACGCTGTTTGTTGACAGGACCAACCAGGGCTGATATAATGCAATATCCCAGCAGAAAGACAGAGATACAATGTAACAATGTAAAATTATTCCCGCATCCGACCAGGACATTGGGGATTGCCTTGTTAGTGAGACAACTTCTTGGGTCTTCGGCATATTGTGGTAGGGTGGCCAGTTCCTTTCCACGCCACCTTTACTTCCCCAACTCGAAGTCAGGTACCCATTACTGCTGGGTGGGCTGGAGGGGGCGAAAAAAAATCGTGTTCCACTTCGGAGACGAGGGCACTAACCGCTCCGCCACCACACCCTCAAGACACAATGTACTCGATAACAATGTTCTCCCCACTCGGAAATCGAAGAAATGTCTCCTGCGTGCACCAGCAAAGCACCTAATCCCTACACCACAGACGCAGGTAGCTATAATAGTCTTTCTTCTTCTTCTTCTTCTTCTTCTTCTTCTTCTTCTTCTTCTTCTTCTTCTTCTTCTTCTTCTTCTTCTTCTTCTTCTTCTTCTTCTTCTTCTATCCCGTGGTTGAGGCAATCGTAGGGGTACCACTGCATCTGACAACCAGCTCTCGCCATTTCTCTCTAGTCTGTCCTCTGCTTTCCTCAAATTGTCACCCATCGTCTTCCCTGTCCACTCTGTTATGTTGTCCTTTCATCTCCTTCTCTGCCCTCCTCTCTTTCTACTTCCTTGTGCTGTTCCTTGTAGGATTGTTTTGGCAAGTCCTGTGGATCTTGTGACATGCCCATACCATTTTAATGTTCGTCTCTTCATTGAGGTCAGTAGATCTTCATGCCTTTATTTTCACCTAAATTAATCTGTTGGGATCAGTATAGTACATGTATTAAGTCTGTGATCATCAGGACCGGGCCATGCAGTTATCAATATATATATATATATATATATATATATATATATATATTGTAAGTGTTTTATGGCATTTGTAATTACTGCATTCGGTCGCATGAGCGCGCGGGACGCAATAAGCATTTTCAGTTTGGTAGGAATTAATTTTGAATGTTGCGCAGGTGGCGGCTGAAGCCTAATCGTATCGATTTTGGACCACCCAGAAATCTATAACGTGCGCAACTGGTACAAGGGACCTCCGAGATTTTTTCACTGTTATTCAAGAAGGCTAGGGGTTACATCCTACCTACCCTAAAATCAGGGGTGTGGCTGAAAGATAACAGTGAGAAAGAGCCAAGGGGTAGCATAAATTTGAAAGGCAGCAGAAAGAATCACGAGCCGAGAGAAGGGGGTAAGGGATGGGACTGGGGGCAGAAAAGGGAAACGTAAGCAGACGACAGAACATGATTTAGAGAGCAGAAAAGGAGGTGAAAGGAGACAATTCTATAGAGAAGAAAATGATTTCGTCGCTGTCAGGTTTCGAACCCGGGAACTACTGAATGAGGCGAACAACATACCTCCAGACCACGAGAGCACCCCCCCCCCCCCCCCTCCACCTCCCACCTCACCCACACACACACACCTATATAGAATAAATAAATAAATTCACAGCCATGTTTCCTGCCGTCACAGAGAAATGCGTTGCATGAGTTCACATGGGGGAGGGGGGGGGGGGTAGGCTGCGGGTGGTTAGCAGGTGATCTAGTGTGATTTGCTCCTTCTTTTCTATCAAACATCTATCGTCCTTATCTCTTCTCTTTTTTTCTATTTGTGACTCATTTGTAATTGTAACACCCCTAAACTTCTGCACTTATGGCTTAATTGTGTTACAAGTGCCGTAAAACTCTTCCTTAAACCTAAACAAGTGATAGCTTCACCGTCCACATACACCTGGAGGTCGGCAGACGTATGAGCACTAGATCTATTTGCTCGTAGAGTATTAACTATGAGTGGGTCATGATTTTTCAGTTCATTGTCGAAATGTGAAGCCACCAAGTATGAGGGAACGTCCATTATTTCAGTCCCCCACCCACCCACCCCCCAACCTCGCCCCCAACCCCGCAAAAACAATAAAACGAAAAAAAACCCTCATCACAATTAAAAATGAAATAAAGCTCATCATTCCTTGTTTAACGTTTGTGTGGTTCATAATCATTATTATGGTTTTAATAGGCAGGTGTGCCCCAATCAGGTCATATTAGGAGTGCCGAAGATTTGACATGTTACTAGTTAAGAAAGAAGGAGCATGCCATAAGAGCGCCCGCCAACCACCCACCATAATAATTATTTCATGGCGTTACCTAGTGTTACAAAAGGCAGTGATAATGATATATTTATTTCTGTAATTTAGCGCAGAGATATAGTAGTCAATGGTTGTAAACATTGTACAACTCTCCCGTCGACATGACGAAGAATATTTAGGAGGCTGGCTGATTGGAAACTGCCCGTCAGTGTCAGAATCAACACGGATAGTGCATGGGAAACACTATATATATATATATATATATATATACATATATACATATAATACATAATTATACCAGTATAATATATAGGGCCTATCATGTTAGCAGGCAGCCGATAGTACTCAATAAAGAACTTCCTCACATGAGAACCAAACTCGTGTCTTTTGAGTGCTTTGGTGCAGAGCCTAATACGGGGTGCCCACTACGGCTGGATTGGGCCGATCGCGGGCACCCCGTTTTATCATTGAGCCATAGACGCCGATATAGCCTGTAGTAATAGCATATCGAACAGATATAATACATCCACTACAGTCTCACCACACACACACACACACACACACACACACACACACACACACACACACACACAATGCACTGGGAACTATAGGAAGTCTTTTACTTTCAGTTGTAGTTTTTAACACTCGAGAATGAATGACGATGACGTAATACGCAATTCTGAGACCTCCGTAGATGAGAGAAGTAAACATTGATACTAAGTTTGTTACATAAAGAAACTTGGAGATTGGGAGCTTTCTGTAACAACATGAACAATCTAACGGTAAATGACTTGCTCTTAAGTAAATATATGGCCGCTTCTAAGGACAAGCGGGCTAACCCAGATTTCCAGGGTTTCCAGAAATTTTGACATACACCAAAAGTGGGCATTGGAGAGAAGTTTGGTTTCATTAGTGTGTTATATTTGTTTGGTTATAATAGAGAAAACTACTCTCTTTGTCTTTTAAAGAAACTGAGCCTAAGTCCAAAACCTTAACCTTCGATTTTCTCAAAACAACATTGGTCATTTATTCGGGATAACTCACTTGTGCTTAAAAGCGACCATATATTGACTTTTGTTTTAAGGGGGAGGGGGGGGGGGGGCTACATCCCCAAAGTCAAAATTCGGCTCAAAATTATAGAATTTGAGTTGTAGGCATTTTTAGCTCCCTCAGCCTCTCCTACATCTATTTCATTACATATAACCCCCCAAAACCGAATTTTTCCCCATACCGGGCATGTTTGTCACCGCCATTTCCTCATAAAGTCAGTATTTTATTTTTCTTAATCGGCCGTTTTCTCAAAACGCGACTTTTCTCTATACTTTTTTGAATAACTCCACCATTGTTCGCCCAATCTTCATGAAATTTTCACAGAATGAAGAGAAGAGGTAATACTAAAAATTTGTCTGTTGAATTTTTGATATATGGAATAGATTTTTGTTGGTGGTGTCTGGAGTGTGGATTTTTACGGATTTTTTGAAAACTTGAACGCTACCTCAGGAAAAAATTCATTAAAAATTTTCTAATTCGTTTAAAAAAACAACAGACAAAAGTTTAGATCTAATATTTGTAAACACGCATGCAAAAAAACATTTAATTTCCATGAGCGATAAGTGCGGTATTCATTACGTAAGACATGTAAAAAAAATCCAATATGGCCGCCGTATCCATGGAAACGAAACTTTTTCTCAAATTTGATTGCGGATTTAAAGACTCCTTACTATGCTTCTTATGTGTGTGAAATTTGGTAAAATTCGGTCCAGTAATAAGCGACATAGCCTTCAGGTGTAGCCCCCCCCCCCCCCCCCCCCCCCCCCTTAAACCTGAGAAATAGCAATAATTGTTTTGTTTGTTTGTTTGAGTAAAGAGCAGCACATCGACACAATAATGGTCCGTTAGTGCTGTAATAACAATTGTGTGGGGGCAAAAACACACAAACGGTTTTTTAGTCATTGTACTTTTCTTCCAAAACGCTCAGTAGTCGGACGCGACAAGATAAACGATGATTCGCTTTATCAGACAACTAATCTATCCAACTTTCAATGCACGAAGCTACCATCGATGTAACCTTTCTATACTGCTGGTAATAATGGACACTTACTAAAGACAGTGAGAATAAATTATAAGCAACAGAAATATATGGCTCCTTGGTAGTAACTGGGGACTATTGAGAATTCCATAGAAGGAAACGTGATAAGGGGAAAAACGCTAGCAAGAGACTGTCACTAAGAAAAATAATCAGGAGGAAGAGATAAGTGCAGTTTCTAAGACACTTGAACCGAATTTACATCTTCGAACATTTTTCTCTCACTGGTAAATTAAACTAGAAGACAAAAAGGTAGAATCTGGACCAAAAATAACTAAGCAGAGAACTTCAAGAGACGGGTGACGGAAAAAGACAAAGATATTGAATTTTTGGGGGGCGGGCAAATGAGTCAGCGCGTTGAGCAGTGAACTATAATTGCAGATATAAATAGATAATATGTCATTTTTCAGACCTGGCACTTGACCTGGAAGGAAAAGTTTCCTACGTGTACTTAACCGCATAACATAATCTCAGGGTTCGCATCTGAAAGAGCTATCTATGTGATCGGTTAGTTCCTTTTCTGTAATATTTTTTTTTCCAATCAGTTTCAGCCATTGTCCTCTCAGGGGGACAAATATTCCACCAGCTGTTTGTTTTAGTAGAGGTTTTACGGCGCTCGCAACTGCATAAGGTCATATGAGCGCCAAGGGGAGGATGTCAACAGAGAAGTCCTAACAGGGAATCAGGCTTACTCTGCTCACCTCTCAAGCTTCAACAGCACAAAGTCTGCTTCGACTATCAAGGCACCCCGGAAACAGCGGGTCACAAGAGTGTGACAAACATACAAAAGAAGTAGAGGGAAATGACGATAGTAAGGATTAGGAAAGAAAAAGAAGCAGTTCCTGTTGCAGTTCAGGCAGTCAGGAGCATGACATTGATGAATCAGCACATTTACAATTTACAATTTTACTACAGTGGAACTCGGATTCAACGAGGTCGCCGGGCCTGACCTCCTAAAATCTCGTTGAATCCGAGTGTTCGTTATAGCAATCACGAGGTTTTGTGTAGATAATTACAGGCACTGAGCAAGTAATGTATAAAGAGTGGTCGCAAGTAGTGCCTGAAATGCCTGCATATTATGAGCTATGTAAAAAAAAAAAAAGAACGATTCGTTCAAATGCATTCCTGTGTCATCTCGATTGTTTCCCACAAAGTTGTGTTGCTGTGTAGAGCCTAGGATACGGCAACTTTTGATTCCATAGACCAGCGCACAATTCATTACGAAGATCTACGTCAAGTTTGTATCTGCGACGTTCAACGCCCGGACCGCTAGTGCCACCCCCCCCCCCCCTCCACGACGCACACACAGTCACATAGTCACACGTGTGCAGGCCGCACATCCGACCCCGACACACGCCAGAGTAGACTCGTGCGCGAGCCAACAACGCATGTGTTGGTATGAAAAAAGGCCGCTGATTGGTCGTATGCAACCGGCTAAGTGAATAATGGTTCACGATGCAGTTGCAATGGATGGTTTCCGGGAACAGATAAAGTTCGTTCTGGGAGAAAAATAAGCGAAGCCACGTTTGCGGGGGCTGTTCACCCTGGAAGCGACCTCGTTGAATCCGAGCTCGCTGATTTAAGTGCTCGTTGAATCCGGGTTACTTTTATTGATTATAAAGAAGAAGAAAAACGGGGAATCTATCTCATCTCGTTGAATCCGAGCTCGTTAAATCCGAGTTCCACTGTATGCATAAGAACAAGTTATTGTCCCCCCTTTGGGAATGGCCTAAAGACACTTGTCAGTAGCACTGCCAAGGGGGGTATTCCACCTTCAAAAATACTTCCGTTTTAAAGATAAACGAAGTACTAGGACTAGATCTAGGACTTGAGATTTTTTTAGATATTTAAACATTATTGAAAATAATTGTACCAACAGAAGGTGAATGAGAGCATGTTTTTATTCAAGTTTGGGTGCGTGTGTTTGTGTCACTGTGTGTGTGTGTGGGGGGGGGGGTGCTGTGCGCGCACGCGCGCGTGTGTGTGTGTGTGTCTGTATGTGGGACACTGGGTACACATGATTCTACAGAAGATTAACGACATGGCAGTTTTATTAAGCAAGGAGAGAGAGAGAGAGAGAGAGAGAGAGAGAGAGAGAGGGAGAGAGAGAGAGAGAGGGAGAGAGAGAGGGAGAAAGAGAGGGGGGGGGGAGACTGAGAGAATGCCTGAAACTATTCTAAAGGGGAAAAATATATATATTATATTAATATACATAATTGAAATGAATAAAGGAAAATAAAAGAGTCTTTTAAAAATTTTATTGGCATTGTCTGCCCAGCATGAAACACATCTTGGTCATCGCTTGTTCAAATTTATCATACAAAAGTCGGTAGGGACACGCCGCGGTATACAGGAGGAGCTAGTTGATAGCCAAGGCATCTCGGCTGTTCTCGTGGTTGATCTCGTGACTGAGCTGCGTCTGGAGGTCGCTCAGCTTTTTCTTGAGACCGCTGAGGCAGGAAAAGAGGATGGTCTCAGGCTTCAGGGAGCCTATCGCTTCCACGTTGAAGAAGAACTTGTTTGGTTGGCCATTCAGATCGAAAGGAGCCTCGGCTGTCAAAGAAAAGAGAGGTTGAGAGAATTGATGAATATATTTATATACCAGTATATATATACGCAATGGAACCCACAGGGAGCACGAGGCAGGGGTAGGCCACGGGAAACATGGAGGAGATGTGTGGAAAGGGACATGAGAGAGATGAAGCTCACTTGGAACGAGCTAGGAAGGATGGCCCAGGATAGAGAGAAATGGAAGGAGCTTGTATGTGGCCTATACCCTGCCAGGGGTGAAAGGCATTGATGATGAAGATATATATATATACATCAGTGACAATAGTCTCATTTTCTCTGTTTTCGGTACTTGTCCAGCATTCACAGCCATGCAGGAAGGATAACCACACATTGCATTTTAAATCTCTTACTTTTATTGTCATTCAAATGTTTCTACATTTCAGAATAATTTGTTAAAATGTCTTTAGCTATATTATATTGCAATTTTTCATTTTATTTTGGCCAAAACATTTTGCATAGGATGTAATGATACATCCTAGATATTCAAACTATGCATTTGTTTGCTCTTTTCCCCTCTACTTATGAGGTTACGAACAGCATTTACTGCTTTTTAAGATTTAACCATATTTCTTATCTTGTTTGACTGCAAGGCTTGGAAAGACAGTAAGAATTGAAAAGAACAGCACTATTTGCTTTCTTTTTCTTTTCTTTTTTTTTTTAACCCTGCCCAATTGTTACAGGCCCTTATTTAGAAAACAAATAGTGACTCACTTTGGTCCTCCTCCAGTTCTGAGTATTCACTTTTGGGCCTGAAAATTGAAGAAAAAGCACGAAACTATATTTTTGTTGCTGAAAGGTAAAACAAGAAAAGACACAAAATAATCTTAACATAATATTAATATTGATCTTTAATGCATACCATAAAGACTGCAAACAGCCTGCACACTACCATTACGATGAAATGATTTCTGACAGTACCTGTCTCAAGATAATACCAACAAGTCTTCATTGTTGCCTTCATCCCCTCAGTTAATGCTTATATTGTCCCAAATTGCATATTTCAAACTATATACATTTTCACATACCTTACTTAATAAGTTTCAGATAAAGAAAGTAGTAATTGAGAAATCAGTATGAATAAAGTCACGTCTATCTGTCTATCAATCCACATATCCATCTATCTATCCATCCATCAACGGATGCTCAACTGGCATCCTGCAGGGTAACAATCCACAACAAAGTATTCTTGATCTTCAATTGTTTTGGGAGTTTTCAAAGCTCTCAATTCACTTGGCTCAATCTTCATGTTAAAATTGAAGGTCTCACCTCTTGATTTAACCCTATTCGTACGCCCTGGGGTCATTTTGTACCCCCGGGGTTGTATTTTTCACATTTTAGAATACTTCTAGAGCAAAGATCTCTTTGAAACTTTCAGTATTTTTCAAAAAAAATTATTTTGAAATACTGCTATACAAAGCGTATGGATCGGATTAACGAATAAATTTCCTCTTTGGAAAGTGGTGGCACAGAGTTCTCCACGTCATATGGATAGGGTTAAATAATCTTACAGAGTTAAAAGTGGAGTGGAGTATAAAAATCCAAACAATTACCAATCTACGCAAAAGTATTGCCCACAATCCTAATGACCTTTTATCTAGTGATATAAAACAATCCTCCGTATTCACGATTAACACATTAATCTGTTATCTTAATAAGAGTTGTCACTGGCAACACAATAAGGTCATTTAAGTGCCGAAGATTAGAGGCGTTACAAGAGAGTAACAAACATAAAAAAAGAAGGAGAGATCAGGACGATAGATGTTAGATAGGAAAGAAGGAGCAAACCACACCAGTGCACCAGCCATCCACCCACATTGCAAAACTGCCAACCCAAGACTATTGCCCACAATCCTAATGACCTTTTATCTAGTGATATGAACTGAACCTCGGTATTCACGATTCACACACATCAATCTGAACAAACAAATGAACAAACAAACAAACACAACAAACAAGCACAACCAACCAACAAACAAACAAACAAACACAACAAAGGAACAAACAAACAAACTAGCGGTCATCCAGCCACTGACCACTCCTCTGGCTTGGGGTACGTTGTGTGTCTCAGGGAGTTGTCCGGGTCGTACTCGAAGGACACGCCCGCCGTCGGGTTCCACTTGGCGTGCTCCTTGGCAAAGCCTTTCCTGGCGAAGGCTCTGACCTTCAGCTCTTGACCTTTCCGCAGCTTGGCTATGAGGATGTCTTTATCTGGTGACGTGGGGGGAAGGGGGGAGGAGAAGGAGTTAACGTTTTAGTTTTAATATGCGTTTTATGGCACATATTTTAGTTTTTGTAGGAGTTTGTGTTCGTGTGTGTTTTAGTAGAGGTTTTGCGGCGCTCTCAACTGCATAAGGTCATATGAGCGCCAGAGGATTAGAGGTGTTACAAGAAAGTAAAATAAACATAAAAAAGAAGGAGGGGAGATAAGGACGACAGATGTTTGATAGGAAAGAAGAAGCAAACCACACAAGAGCACCCGCCAACCACCCACTTCGTAGGAGTTTTATGGCACTTGTAACACAATTAAGAAGGAAGGGAGAAAAGGACAACAGATTTTGATAGGAAAGAAGGAGCAAACCAAACCAGAGCACCAATCAACCACCCACTTGGCCCTTGCAACACAATTAAGGCATGTAAGTGCCGAAGAATAGATGTGGTATAAAAAAGTAACAGCACAAAAAAACAAGGAGGAGAGATAAGGACGACAGATGTTTGAAAGTAAAAAAGGAGCAAATCACACAAGGGCACCTGCCAACCACCTGCAGTAAGAACAATCACATTGACTTTATAACAATCACGACAAAGTAACATATCAACTCAATAAGAACACAAGTGCAAAGATAAAGCAAGACAGTCAAACGGATACAAAAGACTGATCATAAAGAGGTAGCACCTAAGAGTGGGTCTCCAACCACACACAAAAACAGAGAGAAAGAAGGAGAACAAAACACAAAAAAAGCAGAAAAGGTACAATGAGTTGAGACTTCATGGTTCTAAAAGTGTTATTATAAAAAAGACATGATGACAGTAATACCCTGGTAGTGATCACTTTCAAAAGAGGCTCAAGAGACATTCTGACAAAACAAAGTGAGGGCAGGGGGAGGAGGGGGAGATATTTCTTGTTTCAGTAGAGGTTTTACGGCGCTCGCAGCTGCATAAGGTCATAAGAGCACCAGAAGATTAGAGGTGTTACAAGAGAGTAACAAACATAAAAAAGAAGTAGGGGAGATAAAGACGATAGATGTTTGATAGGGAAGAAGGAGCAAACCACACCAGAGCACCCGCCAACCACCCACGGGGGGAGAGGGGAAGAAAGAGAGAGAGAGAGAGAGAGAGAGAGAGAGAGGGAGAGACAGAGAGAGAGAGAGAGACAGAGAGAGAGAGAGAGAGAGAGAGAGAGAGAGAGAGAGAGAGAGAGAGAAGGGGTTGGGGAGGATATGCATAACGTAGAACCTGTGTAAAAGACGGCCACGCAATGTCGAGGAGACAAGAAGCCAAAGACTGGTGGCAGTCATACGCACGACTAATCAAAATGAAAAAAAAAAAAACCCAACAAAACTACAATTATTTACTAATAGGGTTAACAAACACTTACTTTTTGCGTTGTCATATTCACTGTCTTCTTGTCTTGATCTGGAAGTGACCTATGAATGAAAAAAAAGCATCTCGATCACCAACTTCATATTTTCTTCTTTTTTTTTTTCAGTCTCAGATAGCATTTACATTTACACGTATAAAAGCCCATAAAGTAATGAACGTGGTTTACAGCAAAAATAAAGCGGGATGGACTTTTCCCTCCACTCAATAAGCCTGACTGTTGCAATGCCCATCTCTTTGCCCAAATGAATCCAATCCACAGTAGACTTGCATATGTGTCAAAGACATGGTGGAATCAGGCGCTTGTCAATTGTTGGACGAGTGGAATTATTGGTATCATCTTAAAGTTTATTCTATTCTCTTGATCAGCATGAAAAATGTACCCATCTATCTTTAATAGAAATCGTGATATTTGCAATTAAAGAAGGTGGGGGGTCGCCTGGTTTCACAGGTAAATTTGTGAGAAAATGGCTGCCAAAGTTTGGTAACTTCCATAGTTTGAGAGTCCTTGGAAACTAAAAATTTTCAATTTTTGTGCCTTTAATCAAAGTGTTTCCAGGAAATTCATACTGAAATATGTTTTTTAAAGGACATACAAGATGCTGAACTAAAAAAAAAAATTTGATAAAAGTTGCCAAACCGGCAGAAAAATGCTGTTTTCTTCCATTCAATTATTCTAACGAGCGCCTGATTTCACCACGATGCCTCACATATATATGTTGTACACAACTTCCATCTCCTCCAGCCAGCACATCTCTCCCCCTGGAGCAGCCCACTGGTGAAGCGTGTGGAGAAGCCAGACTGTGGTTGCCCACGGCGATTTGACCCAGTGGGCAGAGCTGAGAGCACAGATTGCCGAACTCAAGTCCTACCACTTCGTCAATTGAGCCGTACCTGCATTCTAAGCAGAATTCCGCTCACACGCTTAAAAGAGGTACCACATCAATTTAAAGTGACTACCTATATATCTTAGATAAATCAACCCAATCGGTACACCCCAGGGGTCATTTAGTACCCCCCGGGTTGTAGCCTATTGTTCACATTTTAGAATACTTCTAGTATGAAGATCTCTTTGAAACTTTCAGTATTTTTCAAAAAATCATTTTGACAGACTGCTATGCAAAGCGTACGGATCGGATTAATGAGTAAATTTCCTCTTTGGAAAGTGGTGGCACAGAGTTCCCCACGTCGTACGGATACGATAGTAAAACATGACGTAAGGATAGGGTTAAACAGCCACGAAATCAATTTTTTTTAAAAGTTCATATATCTCTCCGAACACATGAACACTCGTAGTATGCTTAAACTCTTCCCACATAGAAATAGGTAGAAAAGCACATATCTTATACGCTGCCGAATAAACCTCATAATTTCTATACCGTCCCTTTTTCTTTTAAAAGTAGGTGTTCCTTATGTCCCCATTGAAAAAATTTAGATCATTTATGAGGTGGTCTTCTTACCCTGTGTGTGCAAGAGCGAAGCATCTAAGCATCTCACCAGAAACTGTTTAACCCTATACGTAAGTCGTGTTTTACTATCGTATCCATACGACGTGAGGAACTCTGTGCCACCACTTTCAAGAGGAAATTTACCCCTTAATCCCAACTGTACGCTTTACACGGCAGTCTGTCAAAATGATTTTTTGAGAAATACTAAGTGTTTCCAAGAGATCTTCGTACTAGAAGTATTCTAAAATGTGAGGAATACAAACGCAGGGGGGGGGGGTATAAAATGACCTCAGGGCGTACGGATAGGGTTAACCTTTCCTTGATGCCTGTCATTTCAGGCACAGCGCAGCCTGCCCCTCCCTACCCTTCTCGCCAACGAGGTATGCCGCTTGAGACTGGCAGATTTTGTCATCAATCCGTACACAGTCAGTGGCGAGAGCATCCAGCACGGTACATACTCTGCAACAGTCATTTCTACTGGGGAAAGGGTCCGGCTAACCATCTCCTCAGAAGCTACAGGTAGCCTTTAGAGTAGGATCAACTGTAAATGCTCGCAACATTTAGAAATGTATGGATGCAAGTACCCCTTTTAACACTGTGTACGGTTATTTGGTCGCTTTTAAGCACAAGGGGGCTATCCTGAAAAATGGTGTTTTGAGAAAATCTGAGGTAAAGTTTTTGCCTCTTGTTCAATTTCTCTGAAAGACAAGGAGAGTTTTCTCTACTATAACCAAACAAATATACACACCAATTAAACCAAACTTCTCCTATAGGTAGGGCAATGCCCAATTTTGGGGTAGGGGAAGATTTCTGGAAAACCCTGAAATCTGGGTTAGCCCCCTTGTCCCTAAAAGCGACCAATTATCAGAAGAGACTTCTGAATCAAATGTCAATCTCTGAAAGGAGGAAATCAACAAGGCATAAAAAAACCCTTTTCTTCTTCTTCAAAATGTGGATGTTTTATGCTCCAGTGGAGACAAGAGAAATTAAAGAACCTTTTGACAAAACTCGGTAATTGCATTTTTTTTATGAATGAAGAAAAAGTGCAGTAACGATAAAAAAAAATTTACCGCTATTGCTTTACACAACATACCTCTACATCAGTAATAACAAAACATAAAACGGCCTTGAGTAACAACTGTCTTTGCAAAAATGTCAGCTTTCTTACCTTACTTTACTTTTATCTGCCGCTTAAACTTATACCCTTTTGGATGTTTTCTTATCAAAATGTAAATAAAATGTAATATAGCTGCTACTGGATTTTGGAAAAATGCTCTTCACTCTTAATTATGTATAAGTTTAATTATACAGCAAACCACAGCAGAACATGGGCCAACCACCCATTCTTAATTCTGTTTCAAAATTTTCTCACCAAAAATGTAGATCCGAGTTTCTTTTTTTTTTTTTTTTTTGGGGGGGGGGGGGGGGGGGGTAATCTCTCTTTACTTTTAGTTATGCAGCAGTACTATTTGTGACAATAAACCATCACAGCTTTCTTTCTTCTACAGTTTCAAATTTTTAAATTAATTTTTTTTAAAATTCCCTCAAATGTCAGCTAAAGTCGTTTCTGTTTTTAAATTAATAAGATGAATATTTGGAGTGATTTTCTTTTAGTCAAAACGTTTTATGTTACTGTTGTATGTTGTACTGTATTTGTAAAGGGTTCACAGCCTGTGTACTTTAATCGGGGTTGAGCGCTACATAAATGTAATTTATTACTATCTATTATTATTTTTAAAATATCTGAACAAATTAACCTTTTGAGCAAATCATCTCTTTAGGTTCCTTTCAAACTAGGCCTGACCTACTGACTAGGTTTGTGGACCGAGGAATTCAGGCTTCTGTCTACAAGGAGAGCGTGTCACTGCAAGAAGTCATGGAAGCCCACACACGTGTAGGCAGGCCCCTCACCCTACCATTCATGTGGCAGGTCAGTGAGTCCAAAGAAATAAAAGGTGATGCCATTTAGAACATCAGTCAGAAGTAAAAAACCTAGGCTTCTGAACTGTAACAAAGAAAGATAAAGAAGGTCATTTCTACCATTATCCATCAAAATGCTTCTATCTTAACAATCTTGTAGTATTCTTACGACCTTAGAGAATGCATCAGAATAACATTGAGTGTGTATCTAGCTTAAGATTATTATCGTTTATATTGATGCTCATTTATATTATGCCTGTGATTGTAAGCCTGCGTGTGTGTGTATGTGTGTTTAGATTTAGTTTTAGTAGAGGTTTTACGGTGCTCGCAACTGCATAAGGTCATTTGAGTGCCAGAAGATTAGAGCTGTTACAAGAGAGTAACAAACATAAAAAAGTAGAAGGGGAGAAAAGGACGATAGATGTTTGATAGGAAAGAAGAAGCAAACCACACCAGAGCACCCGCAAACTACCCACGTGTGAGTGTGTGTGTGTGTGTGTGTGTGTGTGTGGGTGTGTGGGTGTGTGTGTGTGTGTGTGTGTGTGTGTGTGTGTACACGTGGTGAAACACGAAACCAATGTGCCAGGATCTCGACAATAAAGATGAATCTCATCTTATCTTATTTATTATTTCTCTGATTCCCATCTGCCGCTCAAGTGGCATTTTTGTTTCAACATGTTTCGGCGAATCATCACTTAAGCGGTCTTTGGAGTACCAATTTTGTCCACATCAAGATGTACACCTGGTCCTGTGCTACATTTACAACAGATTTTTCCCCCATATTGTGATTCTCTGTCCAATTACAAACAGATTAAGTGTCCATACAAATAAATCCTTCAATATTGGACTGAATTATTGCTGTTTTAAGGAAACACCCTGAATAAAATTGTGGAATCCCTTGTATACAGTACTGAGAAAGACAAAACAAACAAAAAGTATATTGACCTTTTCATTTCCATTGGTTTTGACTACTTTCCAGCTTCCAAGCAAAAATTATAGTAAATAATCATAAACTTATTCCATCCTATTCGACACAATCTAGATCACTTAGGAGAAGAGTCATTGCTTGGTTAAAAACCCACAGCCTTCCATTAAATAACAATCTCTATCGATGGAAACTAACTAATTCATCCTTATGTGAGAGGTGTAACTCTCATGAAATTGAAGATGAATTTCACTTTATTTTCTATTGTTCACACTTTGTCCATCAAAGGAAATTGTTAATCCCTCCCAGCCTGACTCGGCCCAGTGACAGAAATATGCAATGTTTGACCCACAATAAGAGATATGTGCACAACCTGTATTTATTCATTATAAAAACTTTATTTATCAAAAGAGTGTTTTATGTGATGTGATGTGGGCCAATACTGAATAAACTTACTTACTTACTTACTAGATCACTAAGGAAGCAGTGTACTGTTACACCTGCGACTAACAGATTTAGTGCTACGGTAGTTCTAGATAGATTTGTATATATCACTTGGACTAGACTTGGAAGAAGAAGACAGCTATTCTGATTCCTACTTTCATTTTCCTTCAACTCCTACTCCATACCTGCCAACATTGCCTGGGCCAAAATCTGTAGTTGGACGCAAATTTTTGTCAAAAAATCTGTAGTTGACCTAAAAAATCTGTAGTAGGCTATATTACCTTTTGTCGCATACTTAATTTGGGACCCTTATCAATATTTTATTTTGACCCACATCAAATATGCATGATTGTGTTTGCGACTTCAAACAAATGTAGAAAATGACAAAAAGAAACCAAAAAAAAAAAAAAGACAAATATGAAAACTACCAGAGGCATTTACCCTATCAGTAGTTTGTGCAGTTCCTGTCCTATTCATACCTGCACGCACACACACAAATGAAACCAACACCCCCCCCCCCCCCCCCAAAACAAAAAAAACCACAAAAAAACAGAAGCAAAGAAGAAAAGATGAAGAAAAGGTGGGCCTTGGATGACTTAGGCCTAGCCTTGGCCTTTTGTCTTTGCAGAGTTTACAAGGAAAGAGTATGACGGATCCCGAGTCCACACAAGGCCTGCACCAACACGCGTTTTGCAGAGAGTTTTCTAGATCTAGATCTAGATCTAGTGGTAATCAAAAATTTAGAATACTAACATTTGCTGCTTCCAAGTTCAGTTTTTGTCCCCTGGTGTTGCCTTCAACCCCCCCCCCCCCTCCCCCGAAAAAAAATAATCCTCCCCAAATTCTGGAGTCCTATACTACGCAGCGCTCAGACTTTGAATGAACTTTGGTGACCCCTTCAAGTGCCGGTGCTCACAATGTGATGGAACGCGCAAGTTCATTGACCGGTCACAATGGCGAACCCGACAAGACGCTTGTATAACTATAACTTTCTTTTCTTTTCTTTTCTTTTTTTTTTCACAAGTGACGGCACAGGACAAATATTGATTTATTTTCAAGGCGACACAGCGTTTGCCATGCACAGCCTGCATGTTGTTACAATTAATGTTGCGTTATCAAACTACTACCAGCAAATTTCTGGGTGGTAACGAAAGTGAAAGTATATCTTGATTATCCCGATCAAACGTCGGTATCACACCCGCTTGCCACCATAGCCGCCTGTCTGCGTGGAGAAACATACTTTTGAGGGAGCCGAATGAATCACAATCGCGACCGGCAAAAATGAACTTTCGGGCGTTATCGGATTTGGTTTTCAAATATTCGATAACTTTCTCAAATTCCCGGGTAATTCCCGGGGCCTGGCAGTCACCCTGCTGAATCCCGAAGTCGGTGGCTTCATCTCAAAATCGGTGGATCGGTAGTATCACCCAAAAGTCGGTAATCTACCGATTTTTTCTGTAGGGTTGGCAGGTATGCTACTCCAACTGTTCATCACCTGCGCCACAGCCCTATCCACAGATCTAACAGTTTCTAGTAAGTTTTGTGGGATATTGTGGGAGCTTTTTTGTTTTAGTAAGCGTTTTACGGCTCTTGCAACACAATAAGGCCATACAAGTGCCGAAGATTAGAGGTGTTACAAGAGAGTAACGATCATAAAAAAGAAGGGGGAGAGATAAAGAGGTAGTTGTTTGATGGGAAAGAAGGAGCAAACCACACCAGAGCACCCGCAAACCACCCATTCTAAATCTCCGCAAAAACTGTGTCTACCACAGGTGGTCAAAGCCATTGGCCAGCACTTCCTGTCCCAGCCCAGCCACCCATTACCTGCCCTTGACTCGTCCAGTATCAGACTGAGCGACATGAAAATCTATGTGGTCTGCCCCGCCCGTCTCCCACCATCAGCCAGGATGCCAGCAGACCCACTGTGGCCAGCTCAGGTCAATCAAAGCGGTGTAGTAAACCCCACAAACTGGGAGGCATATCGAGATTCTCTGTCCTGTATTGGTAAGTTTTCTCTGATATAGTCATAACACTATTGTCTCAGTCTGTGCGGACCAGTCCGACGGATCTCCAACCAGATTATGATGGAGACTATAAGTAGACAGACTCTGGGATGGATCCTGAAGAGGGGGGGAGAGCAGAGATGGACATGTTCCGACTGCAGTGACACCAACACAGTGGGCAAGTAAGACTATTGTCTCAGTCATTTATTTCAGGTTTCTTGTAAGTGTTTTATTCTAAAACATGTTGCTTTTTTATGTTTTAGTAAGAGTTTTACGGCACTTGCAACACAATAAGGTCATATAAGTGCCGAAGATTAGAGGTATTACAAGAGAGAAACGAGCACAAAATAGAAGGAGGGGAGATAAGGATGATAGATGTTTGACAAGGAAGAAGGAGCAAACCACACCAGAGCACCCACCAACCACCCACTGTTGCTTTTTTCATACCCTCAGTATAGCAGAGGTTTGTTTCATGTACCAAAAATCTTAATTACTGACACATTTTCACTTTAGCTCATCATAAAGTTGACTATTATGGACAACATTGCTTTTTAAGTTTTCTCTGAAAACAGCAAAGAATAATAGTCAGTTGTGTTAGGAGCCTGTCAGTCTTTCATATTTCAATATATTCCAATCTTTTTCTTTTGCCACTCCAACAGTTATTCATAGTTTAACCCTATTTGTACGTCGTGTTTTACTATCGTATCCATACGACGTGGGGAACTCTGTGCCACCACTTTCCAAAGAGGAAATTTACTTGTTAATCTAATCCGTAGGCTTTGCATAGCAGTCTGCAGACCTGCCACTCTATGAAACCTAAAAATCAGGATCTCAGGGAGAAAAAATCGGGATATGGTGAAAAAAATCGGGATCAACAGCAAATCACCAAGGTGACCGCCAAGGCTGACTTAAAATTTTGCCAGGGGTGTCCATAAATTCCTTGGCCTATATGCCCTCTGCATGTCTTTGGTTTGTGTGCGTGCGTGCGTGCGTGTGTGTGTGTGTGTGTGCGTGCGTGCATGCGTACGTGCGAGTTATCATTATTTTTTGTAAATCCTGAAGCATCGCGTCAAGTACTCCTAGTCCAAGTGTCTATAAACCCCCCCACCCCTACCAATAAGTCCCGAAATACATGAACTTAAGTTGACCCCGTCAAAGGACGGTCCCCGACACGCAGAACTCACACGGTGATGATATGTCACGTGACGCGAATGCGCGATTGAAACAATTTTACTAACAGATCCGACTAACTGCGCATTCATACAAAACACTCGGATGAGCGACAGTCGTTCTACTTTAGGATAACGACGGCGGCCGACCGACCAAATGTACCAACAAATCTCTTATCCCTCATAATGCATTCTGACTAAAGCAACGATAACGGCCGTATGTTAGTCTTGTCACCGCAGTTACAGTTAGTTGTGTAAGGGTTAGAAAGACTGTCGCTGGTCCGAGTGTTTGATGTGAACGCGCAGTTACCAGACCTCGGACAAGGCTTGTTTTGAAAGTAAAAGCGGAACTACGAATATTATCAATTATTAAACGTCCCAAATTGTAACAGTTACCAGGCTATCATCGGAGAATTCTGAGTGCGGGAAAAAATCACATACAACTTGGGGAGAGTCAACTACTAAATGCGGCATCGATATTTCGGGAAATAGTGCTGCGAGTTCCTACTGACAAAAAGTTCGATGGGTGCTTCCCTTGATAAAGGAGTATGTTTTTAGAAAAACCCGGCACAACAGCAGACTGGGACAAAAAATTGGGATACACGCGATCGAAATCGGGAAAATCCGGAGGATTGAGATTTGGGGCAAAAAATCGGGATATCCCGACTAAATCAGGATGAGTGGTAGGTCTGAGTCTGTCAAAATGATTTGTTGAGAAATACTGAAAGTTTCAAAGAGACCTTCGTACTAGAAGTATTTTAAAATGTGAGAATACAACCCTGGGGGTACAAAAAGACCCCAGGACATACGGATAGAGTTAATAATTATCATACCAATTGTACACTAGGGTATATAATCTCCTCAAGCCCCTTTTAACCCTATTGTCACAGGCACCATCCTTCAAGAGATGATGGAAGTGAACCAGAGCATCGCGGCTAGACAGCACAGACCACAGACTCGTCTCTTACGAGGAAGAGGAATAACTAGGGCCACCGACCACAGAAACTCCACCACAAAACAACACACGGGACAGAGAGACATAGAATCTGCAGCAGCCCTCTCCTCACTCCTGCTTCGATGCCGGTCGCAAAATCTTCCGCGTGACCGTCGCGCTGTCAGAGAAATAGTCCAAATGTCTCGAAAGAACCTGGGCGAAGTGTCCAGGTTCCCTTCTATCCATGAAAACAATAAGGTATCAAAGAAGACCAGCAAGTAACGGACGTTTCACGAACCTTTCCTCTCCACATGCCCTGAACTTTCTTCTGTAAAAAAAATCTTCATGGCAGCTTTTTTAAAATCTTGTTTTAGTATAGGTTTTACGGCGCTCGCAACTGCATAAGGTCAAGTCTTTGACAACTGAGAATGTACATATTGTAAGCGATTATTCAGTTTTTTTAAGTTTTAAAAATAAAATTCACATAGAAATATGTTTTCGTATGTATATAAAAGGTGTTTAGACAAAAAATAAAATTTCGATTAATATTGTCAAACTGGAGGAAAAATGCCTGTTTTTTCGATTTTATTATTTTGACGAGTGCCTGATTTCACCATGATGCCTCACATGTGCACAAATAAAACTGCATGATACGTACAGGGATAACATTCGGGTCGCTGGAGATGAGGTCCGCCGTGGTCACGTGTCTGGTCTGGTCGTCTGTACAGCGGACATCCAGCGTGAACTCCACGGAGCACTCAGGGCAGAACTCTTCACAGGTGCAATCCTGAGCAAATCAAATGGGACTTTCTTATTAGAATGATATTGAAGATAACAATTGGATAAGTTTTATGACCATCATTAATTGTGTTCTTTCGTCATTTTCAAATGGGAATACTTAGAAAATATAGTAATAATAATAATAATCTATATTAATACCCCAGCAGACCTGATAACATTCTGAAACAATCTCAATTTCCTGGGAAGTACACAGTGCAAACCGCCATTTATAGGCGCAAAAACACTCAAATTACTGACAAGATCTTCAACTGTCTATGGCCGGGTACTCATTGTCACTTGGGTGCCTTTCCCAAGGACAGAATTTCTGGCCTGCGGCTCAAACCCTAGAACCAGCAACCTCATGATCACATATCCAGTAGCCTAACCACTAGACTGCTAATGGCTAATACCACCGAAATATGATGATATTGGACTCTGATGTCCTTTCATGATCTATACACAGAGTAACAGCTGCTAAATTAACTTTAAAATTTTCAACAGTCATTCATTTTACAGGGTATAAAATGTTTAAAGCTTGCTTACATAACCATGTGTATCTACTTAAACCTACAAATTTATTTCTATATAATTTCTGTATCAACATTCATGTCTTAGAATCAAATAAATTACCATATCCCTACACCATTCATTAAATATCAGTTTATATAAGTGTGTGTGTGTGTGTATGTGTGTGCATGTGTGTGTGCAGGTGTGCGAGTGAGTGCATATGAGAGTGTGAAAAAGTAGAGACATATGTTAATGAACAAGCACGGTATATATTCCATTCTATGTTGTTCTCACTGGAGGAGTACCCCTACTACATGCTAAATAGAGCAGACCAGGTCACAATCTTTCAACTCCGTTGTGGCCACAACAGACTCAAACACCATATGCACACTAAATTAAAAGTGGGAGAGTCCGCAATCTGTGAATGTGGACACGACCACGAGGAAGCCAACCATATTATCCTTCAGCAATGCCCGCGCTACACCACCCTTCGTACACAGACGTGGTAGAATGTGACTCCCCTTGAGAGAAAGCTCTATGGCAGTCTCTCAGATTTGAAGTGGACTGCACAGTTTGTACGCCACATCGGACTGACTGTCTAGCTGCTGTCATCGAGAACAAGGAAGAAGAAGAAGAACTGGAGAAATTGTCTCCGTGTTATAGTTATCCACACATTTCTGCCAGAACAGATATTTATATTATAAAATGTGTAGTTGTACGAGTACATTTAATTTATAGAAAGTGTAATTATTTAAGCGGTTCGACTTCCGAAGACAGTGTCCATCTCTGAAAAGTGAGTTAAGAAGGTGAACAGCCTGGCAAAAACCCAAACTTTCCAAGTTCAAGAACCCCTAATTTGGGATTTGAACCAGGGCCAAAACTGTAATGAAAGTTGTTTTGAAATGTAAAAATGGGAATGAATTATGTTGCGAAAGTTGCAATTACGATTCTTCGATGTCACGATTATTTCCCCTTCTTGACACGTCTAGTTTTGAATTCGTAATCTCATTGTAAAAAAAAAAAATCAGTTTTCCGGTAGGCAGGTGATGCAACGTGTTGTTGTATGGTCATCTGTACAAGTTTCAATCCTTTTATAATGTGATGCAATATACAGCCGTCACAATAACATAACCTATCCATATAACTCTAGCTGTGAGGGCACAATAGAAGATATATTATCTTCATTTAAATGTCAAGAGAGAAAAGTGAAATCCAGACACCTGTAACAAACCAAACTTTTTACTTTCCACAAAAAAACCCAACAAACCAGAAGTCTGTGGGGGGGGGAAAAAAGACTTGTTGTTAAGTGTTTAATTCCTGTTAGACAGTTACCCTTGTGTACTGCATCTTCTCCACAACTCCTTCACTTGTCAGGGGAATCAGCCCCAGGCGGTGAGAAATGAACTCATCAAACAAAACTGTGGAGTTGGCCTCTATCTGCACCCAGTCAATAGCTGAGGACAATATATAATATGAAATAACATTTTTTTAGAAAATGCAGAGCAAAGCTTTGTATCATAATAGAATAGAGAAGCCCATCAGCATTAGTTTAGTTTTAGTAGAGGTTTTACGGCGCTCACAACTGCATGAGGTCATATGAGCGCCATAAGATCAGAGGTGTTACAAGAGAGTAACAAACATAAAAAAGAAGGGGAGATAAGGACGATAGATGTTTGATAGGAAAAAAGAAGCAAACCACATCAGAGCAACCGCCAACCACCCACTAAAAAAGAAGAACAGGAGATAAGGACGATAGATGTTTGGGAAGAAGAAGCAAATCACACCAGAGCATCAGCCAACCACCCAGTCCCATCAGTATGAAAGTGGTCATTTTGTACAAGGATAGCAAAGACCCATGAACAGTGACAGCAGAGTCTAGGGACACGAAAAAACACATCCACCTGCACATAGGATTTTCAGCAAAACCATATTAACATAGTCAAGTTAGATTTTTTAAAAAGAAACCCCCAAACAATTCATAACATTAACACTTCAATGTGATAATTCTTGAGTGAGTGTTAAATTTTTTCAACATGGCAGAAAGTGGAGACGAAAGCAAACGACAGAACATAACTAGAGAGCAGGAAAGGAGGTGAAAGGAGATAATTTGAGAGAAGAAAATTTATCTGTCACTACCCACTACCCGGATTCGAACCCGGGACCTTTGAATGAGAGGCGAACACCTTTAACATTTTGCCACCTCATCTCGTCAATCGGATATGTTTACCTCCCAGTTTTTTTTGGGATTTCCCCCAAAATGTGATGGCAAAGTGTTAAAGCCTCTAGGCCACGAGAGCCCCCCATTTTATGTTTACAATAAAATTTTAAAATACATCATTCAGACATCCAAATTTTTCTCTCCCTCCAATAAAAGACCTCTATACAGGTTGTTTTTTTCCCCCACTCCTCACTATCTATTGTACAGAAATAAAAATCCTCATCAAAAAACACTTACAAAATTTTCAAAGAACTCACCGATTGTTGGTACTTCTGCAATGCAAACTCTTCTAAGAGCGTTGGCAACACTGAAATGAGAAATGACGCAAATATTATAATCTTTGATTATAAAAGATGCTAAATCTATTTCAAAGTTGAAACGTAATTTAAGCGATTAAAATTTCAAGTTCACGTGAGAATAGTGCAATCGTAGGCCTCTAACCTGGGGTAGGAGGGCGAGCCTTTTGGCTATTGTACTCTCACCCAGTGTGCATTCACTGTGATACTCAGGGGAAACTACAGACTTAAGTTCTACTCTTTTTATTGAATTTTGTGGTGTAAACAAACATTCCAGATCTCTTGTGTTGAAAGCTTGCAATTTTGTCTGTCGGCGGGCATTGAAAGAGAGCAAGAGAGAGAGAGAGAGAAAGAGAGAGAGAAAGGAGTAGCCTAGATCTAGCGAGAACTTCCAAGAAAAACAAAATGGCAACCTGCGTAGTTCGGCTTAATTCGAAAAGTGAAATAGCTGCAGCATCTTTGTAAACCGCCAAATTCGTTAAAAACTTTTGTGCTAGATCTAGCTGTCCCCATGGTTTTATGTACCCCGTATAATTTAGCAAAATTTGATCATTTTTTGCATAATTTCTGATTATTTTCCTTTATCATTCTTTGTTAAAATTAACAGAATTGCATAATCTCACTTTTTTGGGCTCAGTTTGCATAATTGCAAAAACAATGGGGACAGATCTAGAATCTAGGCCTATAAGCTAACACATCATTTTTTTTTCTACGTTTTTGTCAATTTGATCATCCACACCGATAGAAAGTATTTTAGAAAAAACAGGTCTGGTTTCAGGCCGGGTGAGACTTGCCAGCGTTTGCTATTCCAAGAGGAGCTCTGTACAAAGTAGGCCTTAGTATAGCCTATACTTTTCTTTTTACCAATTTAGGCCTGGTTAAAGTTCAGTAGTGGCTTTCCTTGGTCTGTGAGTCTAATTTTTTTTTTTTTAATTTTAGGCTCAGGAGAAGGAAAAAAAAAACCTTTCGGGACCGGCATTTGATGCCACGCTTGGAAGAACAGAACATTAGACTTAGAGAACGTAGACAGTAGATAGTTTGTATACACGTTCTCTAGGCCTAACTTAAAGTTCGAGTTGCACCGTCTTGTTATTGTTATCCAAGCGTCTTTCGATTTAAACTTTAAACTCTAACTCAGATGATTATGATTATAATGAGTGATGAACAAGACGTGTCTACTTTTGTGCAAACAATGTCAGAAACAATTGTAAGATCTAATCTAGATTCTAGATCTAGATCTACCCAATATTGATCGGAATAAGACAACGTCATAAAAAAGGAGTCAAATCCTAGGAGGTTTATCAAAAAACTGAGAAATCTTCCACAATTCAGGCAGAAGTACAATATTATTATCATGTAGAAACGATCCCTACTACATCTAGATTCTAGATCTAGTACTGGCGTTTCAAACAGCACGGGAGCTATTCAGAACGCGCAAATAGCGCTTGCCTATAAATAAGATGGGAGGGTTTCAGGGGGGTATATGCCCCCCTGACTTTTACCACAATTTAATGTTTTGCAGTTGTTAAGTTTGATATCTTAGCTCGCCGTGAATCAAACGTATAGATCTTGATGTAGATCTAGGTCAGGCTCAAATAAGGGGAGTGGGAACTACCGAAAAAGCACTTTCAGTTCTAAAGACGCCACCACGGTGTGAAAACCAGAGCTGGTTGTAATGGAGTACAGGTACTTACGTTACAATTTTCCGTACTTTTACTGTACTCAGGTACATTTTTGAAACCAGTACTTTTACTCTACTCCGATACTTTTTATAAAAGTATTTTTGAGTATTTTTAAAGTACATTTTGAGTACTTTGGAAGCTTAATGAAAGGGTAGGTGCCGCCATTTCTGATCATAATTTACGGAACAAACACCCAGGCGGGCACAGCCGATCAACCAAGAGTTAAAAGTTGAGATCAAAGAATGGCCCGTCGCGTCAAAGATCAGCCACTATGGATGTGATCACAAGCATTGTAAAACTCCATGAAACGGTAGTGTTTGCTCCAGACGGGATCACACCAAGGTGTGAACTGACCGATGCGTTTCTTTTCCCCAAACATCGCACTCGCATCTGAGCTCACCACCTAAACTTACATCACTCACTGGGTGGGTAGGGCCTACAAGTTCGCTCCAGGCGGGATCACATCAAACTGTGAACTCTTCCCTGACCATTGAAAGCAATTTTTCTCTATTCCCGAATTTGCGAGACAGCCTGAATTTTAATTGGTGTTGTCACAACGTAATGGTGCGTAACGACAAAGGCGGTTAGGGGGAGGGGGACACAATCAGAGATGGAAAGCTAAAGTTGGACAGGTGAAGGGGAGGGGCAACTGGATAAAAGTAGATAAAGATCTCAAGACTCACGATAGGCTAATGAGTGTGTATAATATATTATTTATGGCATGCCTCATGCCACTGTGATTGGTCATCAAGGTTGACCACTCTTTGATTTCCATCTGTTATAAATCCACCCAGGGGTCACGTCAGTTCATGGGTCACTGTAGATTCTTCCTTGGCTTCGTAGGTTAAGATCCTACATTTTCCGTGCTTCCGAGCACTGGGATCTTAGGCGGAGACTACTGTAGTAGAGAATCTTTGGTTACACTACACTTACAAGACTCTAGGAAACTATTGTATTTTGGTTTGCCGTGGACTACACAGTGTGACCAAAATCTGTCTTACCACTATAATCAATTGAAACCGAAACTGTGTCTCAATGTGTATCTAAACAATTTTTTAGGCTGCCTAAATCTTTTAAATTTTTTTTTGGGTGGTTTTTGCTTAAGGCTACATTGATGCCTTGAGGATTTGTTAATGAAGAATTAAATGCACTTTTCCATTTGTATGCGGGCCATTTTCATCAATTTTATGTTTTCTTAATAGCAACTTTGAATCTACATTTTCCAATTCGGATACTTTTTCTGTTGAACTTTTCGACCTCTTGGACTGACTTACATTTGATCATATTGTCTTGCTCAAACAAGTTCTATGTCTATTCATAATATCACTTACCCACTAGTTGCGTCTGTTCGTTTAGGTTGAGTTTTTTTTTTTCGATTTCACGGACCATTTCCACCTTCGTTCAGTGCGTACATGACATTGTATATTCAAATGCTTTGTATATACTGTTTACATTTTAGTAATAAATAGCCTAATTTGTCAAATATACTGGATATAATGTTATTTAATATGATTATTATGATGTTTTGCATATTAAGCGCTGAAGTGTTTTCGTTTAGCATATTAGCAGAAAGTACTCAAAACGTACTCATAAGTAGTACTATCTTAAAAAGTACTTGTACTCAAGTACATTTTACAGGAACGAAGTGTATACAGACCCGGTAACCGGGAACAAAGTCACAAAGTATACAGACCCGGTAAGGGAACTCTTTTGTGATTTCGGAAAGTTTCAGCG